AATGAATGAATGAATGAATGAATGAATGAATGAATGAATGAATGAATGAATGAAATTGCTGTCCTGTATTCTGAGAGCCTCCAGCAGGTGATCTTGAAAGCGAACCAGGACTAGGTCCGGTTAGGGCTTGGGTAGGACACCCGCTGGGAACCCCAGGGCTGTAGACTAGACTAAAACCACCAAAACATCTCAGAAGAATTCAATAGCAACCAAGCCACTTCTGTCTTGCTGTCAAGAAAACAGCAGGGTTTTGCCCGGGGGGTCAGGTTTTGCCCCGTTCCAAGCTCCTTGCAAGCACATCAGAGCAACAGGTCCCAACCTTGCCTGCTCCCTGTTCTGCTGGTTCTACAACTGTGACTGGTTGTTTTTTTTAATTGTTTCACCAAAGGGAGCATTCAGAAAGGTGAAGTTCTCATTTCCCTTTGAACGGATAACACCTCTGTCTACCAAGGTAGGATGCTACAGCTTAAGCTTCGACTTTAGGTAAAATCTGGATTCTGAAAAGGGCCACTTCAGCCTCCTATCTGTGGTTTTTGGGGGTCTTCTCTGAGGGGCTGTTCCAGTCCTCCCTGCCTACCGGTCCCATGCTAGCGGCTGCTGTCTGACCTCCTGATGCCCTTCTGTGCCCTCTCCCCTTTTGTGCAGAAAGACTTCACGATGCGAGAAGAGCTGCAGCAGAGCGACGTGGAACGCTGGCTTGGCTTCATCACCTTCCTCTGCGAAGTCTTTGGCACCATGCGAAGCAGCACCGGGGAGCCTTTCCGCGTGCTTGTCTGCCCCATTTACACCTGCCTCAGGGAGGTAAGTGGCGAGGGGGGTTACGTGTTCCTTGCTTACTACCCGTCACTGTTTATAGCACAGTCCTGGCAAAAAAGGGGCAAATTTGCATGCAGTTGTCAACTCTCAGAAATTCTCTGTGTTTTGGGGTCTTGTATCGTACAAGACTCCAATCAAGAATACCTAAGATGATGTGACATTTCAGAGATTATTTGGGGACTGTGATGCCCCGTTGCCTTAAAAGATTGATGATTGCTACAGCAGCCTGATAGATCTAGTAAAACAACATGGGTTACAACACAGCATTCCTTTCCTGGCCTGGCCTGGCCTGGCCTGGCCTGGCCTGGCCTGGCCTGGCCTGGCCTGGCCTAGCATTTTATCCAAGGGGAACCTTTTATTTATTATGATGATTGTGCATTTGATATACTTCTTTACCGCTTCCTAAACCGAAGCTTCTCAAAAACATTTGCAATAAAAACAGTAAGAAAAGTAACATAACAAACATAACATGAGAACAATAGGGAGCATTCAATAAAATAAAATGTATTCATTGACCAGGTGGGTAGAGGAAAGACAATGTCCTTCCAGCCATCGCTGGCTGAACATTGCTTGTGATTATAGGTGAAGTAATTATTTTTCTGTCTTTGTTGAGTAGTGTGTTTTACTATATTTTAACTACTTGTCATGACGTGCTGTCAGTCTTGAAGAATTGATGGAAGAAGAAGAAGAAGAAGAAGAAGAAGAAGAAGAAGAAGAAGAAGAAGAAGAAG